AATGGACAAAGCTCGCGATCATGAGTTGAAACTATTTCACCTTCTACAAAGCTCTAAGCCAAGCAGGAACAATGCATTCAGTGCTTATGACCCTCAGCAATAAGGATCTAGTGGCATTTACCTGGGACAGAGTGGATTTAGTGGCAGTGAAGCACCTGGTAGTGGATTGTTGCAATCATTGTACAATCAGTGGTACTAATAGGTCTTCATGTTTTATAACTTTAAGTTCAAGTGGGGTTCCAGTTCAAATTCAGTCCAAGTTTTATACTCCTTTAATAACATAGAACTATTAAAGTGATTGTTGTAGAAGTTACACTTATTGCTCTTCTCTTATTAAATGCACGAGGAAACAGCCCCTACTGCTTCTTTACAACCCTTGGTTTTTTTTGTGCATGATAGGGGGTCATATGGTAATTATTAATGCCAATGAGGAAAAATTAATAAAGGGAAATAATGACTGAACCAAGGATAAAATTGAATCGTAACATTTACAAAACTGCTTCAAAACTACCCAAGTGGTATCTTTGGCTATAGGAACTTACAGTTTGTAGTTAAGCATAACAAAAATTAACAGCGACAAATTGTAGGAATTGCCACGAAGTAGTTGCTCTGTACAAAACTGGCCCTAGTTTAAAAGTATTCAAACTTTTCCAGTTTCCTTCTCTACCCACAGTTTCTCACATAGAGCATCTCTCACTTTCCCTGCTTCATCAGAGGTGACTTTAGAACTTCTGCAATCGGTCATTTGCAAAAGCTTTCTAATCTCTTCACGATCCCTCTATTCTTGGGTGCTTGGATCCACTGACAGGACAAGCTTCCTTGAAATTGAATCACCTCTCTCTATACAAATGTTATGTAAGATCATGCATGCTAGGGTGACAGTTTGACGAGATCCTTTTTGCTCTCACTTTTCCGCAGAAGCACCCTCCACCTACCCTTTAGCTGCCCATGCGCACCTTCCGTTACCATGCGTGCCCTGCTGAGGCGGTAGTTGAAGTACCTTTGCTTTGGGCTCAAGGTGGCATAGGCGTAAGATTTCATCAGCCACGATTGTCGGGGAAATGCGGAGTCCCCAACTATAAGTTGGGGTATGCTGACTTCACCATCAGTTTTAGCAATATTTGGCAACAATCCTGTTTGAAATGCATCCCATAAGTTCGTGGACTTAAAAATTAATGGCATCATGGGAATTTCTTGGAAGGACTCAACTTCCCCATACGAATCTGTACTTTGAGTCAACCATGGCCATCAACACGATAGAGTAGAAGTATTTGAAGTTATGTAACTCTTTGCGATGATTCTAATCTTCCTGGAGGGCACTTTATGGGGGATATGGTAGCCGTCGATCGCTGCCCAGCAATACGGGAACTGCCAGAGCTCTTCCATGTCGAGAACTTTTTCTCTCAGAGCTTCTGTCGAATCAGGCAAGTGTACTGAAACACAGTCGTTCCAGAAGTGATTGACTAGCTCGTGTGAAACCTCTTCAACGATTGAGTTTATCGTTTAACACCTCTTCCCACCATCTCTGCCATCATATGATAATAGTCTCCTCTTCCCAGTCGATATAAGCGTATGGCAAGTCTTTCGTCTGGTGAGATTGGGTCCTCTGTCAACGTTTGTTTTGCCAGTATAGGCTCAATACAGTCCAGAATGTACCGAAAACTCGCCCTAGATCTCCTCAAGGTCTTCTTAAACCGCGCTTGAGAGTAATTGTTCCATACATTCTCCCAACAACCAGTGTTTCTGACCAGTCTTCGACATGATCGGCGTCTAGGAAGCTGTGTTATCACTTTTCTTTCCGACACAAGCATCAACAAAGCAATTAAGCAAACGCTCAAGAGACGTCTTCGTCTAGCAAATAAGTAGTGTACCATTGATTGCATCATTAACCTGCGTCTTCGGTTGTTACGAATCACATGTTGAATAAAACGAACTGAGTTTTTGTCGACTCCCCCAACAACGTTGTTGTTCGCCATGTTGGAATAACAAGCTGTCAGAGAGGAGACTGGGAATATTGACAGCGAACCGAGTTAAATTCGACAGAGTTAACTTCGACGTTTGGATCAAATGCCGTTTTTAACTATTTCGGTTGACTAAAGTAGGAGTTAAGTTCGGCACATGTGAAATTCGACGTTTGAACTGGGCCTAATAGGCACGAGCCTATGGAGCCCACATTGTCATGCCACGTGAAACCATTTGAAACATGATACTTCTCTCTTTGTGAAATATTTATATGTTAGACTTCAAATATAGAATAGAATACAACATAAAATAGAATTTCGGTTTGTTTTTCACACAAAAATTATGTTGAGAATATTCTTATGACTAGTTATAACTGGGTTATTTTTTTTACCTCTGACGAAGGAACGAAGTAATCGTAGTCTCAGCTTGCGAGCGAGCCCTTCTTTACTGTTGGCCCCTTGTGCGGCCTTTTAACAAAGCGCTTCATGCCATTTATTTTGAATATTATGATTTAT